TTCCATCAAATTTGAGGAAAACCTAACCAAGAGAAAGAATTTTTTCACTTAAATATGGTGCCACTCAACTTGAAATGTATTGTTTACTTTTCTAATATGGCTAAATAAATGTGTTTCAGGCATTTCTTAGCCCAGAGAACCCTGAAGAACCTTATTTAGATGGAATTAGCTATAATTGTGTGGCTCCAGGCAAACGGTTCATGCCTATGGACAATTTGTCAGGGGGAGAAAAGTGTGTGGCTGCTTTGGCTCTTCTGTTTGCAGTACACAGGTACGGTCACAGGAAGTTACCAAGTACATCTTTATTCAGAAAACTATAATCATTTTTGGGTTTTGTTTGGGGGAGGGGTTGTTTTGGTTTTGGTTTTGTTTTTTGTTTTTTTGGTTTTTTTTGAGACAGGATTTCTCTGTTGCTTAGGAGGCTGTCCTGGAACTCTCTGTAGACCAGGCTGGTCTTGAACTCACAGAGATCCACCTGCTTCTGCCTCCTGAGTGCTGGGGATTAAAGGTGTGTACCACCACCACCCAGCATATAATTATTTTAATAATATTTAGCAAAGCTATTTTTAAGTAATATATTGAAGTTTGTTTTAGATCCATAACAAGTTAGAAAATCTATAAGTACAGTCTTTGACAAATGTTGACAAATAGCAAGTATTATTGGATAATCCACATAGGATATCAAGATTGCCAAAAATAAGCAATAAGCAATGACCTAATTTTATCATTTTCCCTGGCCATACTCAGAGCTCTGCTATGTAATGAAAGCAAAATATTTTTTCCTTTAAAAAAGGGAGTGGGGGCCGGGCGTTGGTGGCGCATGCCTTTAATCCCAGCACTCGGGAGGCAGAGGCAGGCGGATCTCTGTAAGTTCGAGACCAGCCTGGACTACCAAGCGAGTTCCAGGACAGCCTCCAAAGCCACAGAGAAACCCTGTCTCGAAAAACCAAAAAAAAAAAAAAAAAAAAAGGAGTGGGGAGCTTAACATCCTCATTTCCACTGATGATAGTTATACATCTCCTTGAAATATAAATCAAGAAACAAAAGTTAGGTAAAATAAAACAACAGCCTTCAGCATTCACAGCAGGTGGCAGCAGTGTGCATGCTGCTCTCTTCACATCACTAAGAAAGAACATAGGAATCTGACTTCTGTTCTCAAGAAAGGAATGGGACAGCCCCCCCCCCCAGGAGAGGTACAGAGAAAAACCATGGTGGGCTGGGAAGGACTCCAGGTGCAGGATCACAGCAGAATGAGATTCTTATTAGGTAGCTCCCTATCCTTTCACCCTATTAAATATTCACACTTTCAGGTACGGTTGCAGGCTGGGTGGAGATTCCTGTGAACAAAACAAAGTCTCTTCCTTAAAAATACTTCATTTTGCCCAGCATTGGTGGTGCCACACGCCTTTAGTCCCAGCACTTGGGAGGCAGAGGCAGGTGGATCTCTGTAAGTTCCAGGCCAGCCTGGTTTACAAAGTCACTTCCAGGACAGCTAGGACTGTTACACAGAGAAACCCTGTCTTGACAATCAACAGCAACAACAAAAGAATAGCAAATGTGAAGACCCTGCATCCAAAGTGGGCTTAGCATGTGTAGAGGATACTTTATATGGTGGTGATAGACACAGGATTAGGATGCTGTTGTAACAAGCAAGGTAAAAGATTGTGGTGGCTTGGTACAGTATGAGAGACAGAGGTTGCTAACAGGCATGGAATATGAAGATGTCAGTATTGACTCCATGGGTTTAGCCTAAATAACTATAATAATTGCTGCCACTAACTGCCCACAGGAGAGAACAGGTAGAGGGGAGGGGGAGATGATGGCTTAATACTCATGTGGGATCCAGTATGTAGACATGTGAGAAGCGAGCTCAGAGCTGTCATGGAAATGTGTGAGAGCTGGCATGGTGGCACCAGAAGTCTCCCAGAATTTCTAAAAGTACTGTTACTCCTTGCCTCTCTCTAAGTCTTCATAAAACAAGTAAGGAAGTTGTTACTCATGTGCATGTAATTTTTTTCTAGTTTTCGGCCTGCTCCATTCTTTGTATTAGATGAAGTAGATGCAGCTCTGGACAATACTAACATTGGCAAAGTAAGTATTTTTCTGCTTTCAATTTATTTTTTTTCCCCACTTTGGTTTTTCAAGATAGTGTTTCTCTGTAGCCTTGGCTGTCCTGGAACTTGCTTTTAGACCAGGCTGGCCTCTAACTCAGAGATCTGCCTGCCTCTGCCTCCTAGAGTACTGGAATTAAAGGTGCATGCCACCACTTCTACTTTCAATTTCTAATTGAACATTTTTGTTCTAGTTTTATTCTGTTGCTGTGACAAAACCATGGCCAAGAACAACTTAGTGGAGAAAGGGTGCATTTGGATTATACTATAGGTCATAGTCCATCATTGAGGAAAGCCAGGACAAACACACAAGTATAAGCTTGAAGAAACCACGGAGGAAGGCTAGGCCGTTTGATGGCTTTCTTGCCAAACAAAATAAAATGACAAATGAACAAACCACTCAAAATTTGGGTACAGGAGAACTAAGACTCAGACTTTTGTCTAGTTAAGATAGTACTTGTCGGCCGGGCGTTGGTGGCGCACGCCTTTAATCCCAGCACTTGGGAGGCAGAGGCAGGCAGATCTCTGTGAGTTCCAGGCCAGCCTGGTCTACAGAGCGAGTTCTAGGACAGACTCCAAAACAATACAGAAAAACCCTGTCTCGAAAAACCAAAAAAAAAAAAAAAAAAAAAGGTACTTGTCAAGTCCCTAAGATTGGTCTGGGTCAGAGTACACGGTCCTAATTGGTCTGAATTCAGGATAACTATGCTTCTGAAGTACCATCTATAGAGAATTAATGAGACTGAAAAGCCACATTTACAGAAAGGACTCTGGTTTTAGAGGCCATGGCAATAGCCATGATGCAGGAATGGAAGTCTTGAACTAGAGTTGTGATGTGACAGTCTGGATATAAAATGTCCGCTACATAAAAGCCGTGGCACTGGAAAAGGATTTTCTCCAATTGAGGTTCATAGAGGAAGCTTTGAAAGGGTAGAGCCTTAGTGGAAAGATGTTAGGTGATTCCAGGCATGCCCTTGAGGATACTAAGACCTTCCTCAGACCCTATGCTTCTCTGGAATTACAGATGTGTACCATCACACCCCAATTATTTTAGTTACTTCCTTAGAATTGAGCTTCCCCAAGGAGCCTAGAATTCATCTTTAACTAAGACTTGATTTTCCCAGTCTTTAAGCTTTGAGTTACCAACTCAAATGTGATTTTTAAAACAAAAAAGAATCATTGGGATTGACATGTGAAGCAACCTTGTTTCTAATTTAAATTTAAAATTTTTAAATTAAATAATGTTAAATAAATATGGAAAAAAATCATTGTTCCCAGAACCCAAAGGAGGCTTTGCCTTGCTGGTGAAATGTGTGCTTTTTATTTCCTCCCAGGTTTCAAGTTACATCAAAGAGCAGAGTCAGGAACAGTTTCAGATGATAGTCATTTCCCTAAAAGAAGAGTTCTACTCCAGAGCTGATGCACTGATTGGCATCTACCCAGAGGTAAGGACACAGGGGCAAGGACAGGTGCATTAACTCCTGTGACCCTGCCAGCCTTGGGATTCCACATCCATGTAATCCAGGAGTTTGCACACACTATTGGTTTCCACAGTGGGTAAATAGAAACCAAATGACTTTTAAAGAGTAAAATTTATGAGTAATTACTCAGATACTCTCCTTGACAGAAAGATTTAAGACATTTTAAGTGAAACAAGGAAATTAAAACTGTAGGTCATGGCCCAGCAGAAGACTCAGCAGGTTGATGTACTTGCTACCAAGTCTGTTGACCTGAGTTTGATCCTCCAGACCTACGTGATAGAGGGAGAAGACCAACTCATCACACACACACACACACACACACACACACACACACACACACACACACAGAGAGAGAGAGAGAGAGAGAGAGAGAGAAGAGAGAGAGAATGTGTGTAGTAAAAATACCTTTAAAACAGAAGGATAGTGTGGTAGTTGTATTTTGCAAAACAGCAATATATAGTAACATAGAACAGACTGTTACTACTGTGCTTCTCCTTTCTAACTTGTGAATATTTTATGCAAAAAGTTCACTCAGCACTTCAAGGGCTACAGGAACACACCTGTCTTAAAGCCATTCAAATAAATACTTAGCTCAAAAACTCTTACCAGCACAAGCTCCATCACTCAGACTCAGAAGACAACTGAACCCTGAAAGTTGTCCTTTAAGCTTCACAGTTGTACTGTGCATGTGAACGTGTGTGCGCGCACACGTATACACATACACACACACACACACTAAAATTTTTAAAACCTGAGCGAAGGAAGTAGAGCAACAACTCAAGACCTTCAGTTTTTAGGCAGTTCCACTTTAAGCTAAGATAAAAATTAATTTACTGAGCTAGTTGTGATAGTGTATGCCTTTAATCCCAGCACTCAGGAGACAAAAGCAAGCAAATTTCTCTAAATTTCAGGCCAGTCTGGTGTACAGAGTGAGTTCCAGGATAACCAGGGATACATGTAGAAACCCTTTCTCAAAAAACAAAGAGGATAACTAATCCCTTTTAAATGCAAATCAAGATTAATTAGTGACCTCACTTTGAAAAGTACCTCTTTTTCTAAGCAGGACTGCTGACTTAAACTGCCCTCCCTCCCTTTCAGCATGATGAATGCATGTTCAGCCATGTGTTGACTCTGGACCTATCCAAGTATCCAGACACTGAAGACCAAGAAAGCAGCAGGAGACGCCGGAAGCCCAGAGCGTCACAGTCTCCACAGTCCCCTCAGTCTCGTTAGACATGAGCATGTCTTTGAATATCCGCCAGCTATAGGAGCTATACCTTGACCCTGTCAGTCTGTTTAGTCCCATGTGTCATGGAAGAAAGTTTCTTAGTTTTAGTAAAACATGCTATAGCCCACTCCAGTTAAGGAGTGCTCAGCCCCAATCCTGTAGAGGTTTCCTATTGGCAACATGAGGTGTGTGGCTTTCTTTTGAAATAAATTTGGTTTTAAAATTCTGAATTCGGCAGCATCTTTACTCTGGTTTTTGCCTTGTGTTTTATATTTAAGGGAAACAGCTGATTTGGGGTTTTTATTTTTGTGGTCCTAGAGATGGAATCCAGGCTCTTGTGTAAGTGTTCTACCACTGAGTACCTTTTCAGTCTTGATAGTTTCTAAAGATACCAGTAAGCTAGGCGGTGGTGGCGCACGCCTTTAATCCCAGCACTCGGGAGGCAGAGGCAGGTGGATCTCTGTGAGTTTGAGGCCGGGCTGGACCGACAGCCTCCAAAACAATACAGAGAAACCCTGTCTTGTAAAACCAAAAAAAAAAAAAAAAAAAAAAAAAGATACCAGTCATTGTGCAGTTAGCAAATTGGTGAACCTAGCTTGTATGAGAAATTATTTCAGAGGGAGTCTGTGTCAGTATTGAAAACAGAGGTAAAATAATTTCACAAGTTTTAAAAGCAGAACTTTTTTTTTTTTGGTTTTACAAGACAGGGTTTCTCTGTATTGTTTTGGAGGCTGTCGGTCCATAAAAGCAGAACTTTTGATGGTGAAACTGAATCATCTGCTTTAGTGCAATCCTAATTTTTCTAGATCTAGTTTATCTTAAGGATGGGATGTACAAAACTATAAGGCATTGCCTCCTAACAGTGACTTCATGCAAATGCTGTTGCAAGAAAGAAGGTAGACAGTTTTGAGCAGTGCTTGTTCCTGTTTCAAAATGGAACAAAAGGACTCCACAGATCTTTATGGAAGTCTGCTTTAGTCCAACAGCTGACCCAGGAGCTGCCTCCTGAAGCCATGGGTCACTTCTGAATAGAACTTGTTTCTTGTATATAGAACATGCCCTATGCCTACTTAGTAGACTGAGTCACAAGATTTAGTTCCACCCCACATACACAAGCACACACAAAATGTAATGTTATTGAACTATATACTCCTCAGAAAAGCAGAGATAGCTTTTCTGTACATTAGGTGGTTATGAAATACATAAATGCTACAATTAATAGTCAATTTACCCTGAAAGAGCCCTGATGTTAACTTAGGGGAAAAGTGGATATGAAGAGGCTGTCTGAAGCTCAGTCTACTGTGGAGGAGGCTTGTGGTACACATGGGCACTGGAGAGCTCCTGAGGTTTAGGGAGCTGCAGAGTGAAGACTTTGGAGTATTCTCAGCTCCAGGGAACTGGGTGCAATCTGTAGCATCTACTTACAACAGGATCAGCAGACTTCTTGAAGAAACAGTTTTAGCTTTGGTGAGTCTACAAAGAGGTTCTCTGGTAGTTCATATAAAACACTTGACTGACTAGCTCTGGGCAGTAACCACCAGACAGGGCCAGAGCTTGTCCGCTAACTTTGTGTTTCTCACAGCAAACACCCTGTGCTAAGACTGTTTCCTTCTAATACATGAATCACATTGGAATAAAAGAACATTCAAAACACACCACAACAAAAGACTGAGCAGGGATGGCCCAATCTCCCCAGCCATGGTCCAGAGCAGAGACTGTGAGAGAGATGACCACATCAAAGAGGAGATGGCAGTAGGAGCAGAGTCTGCAACTTTGGTGGATGAACCAGAGTCCATGGTGAACCTGGCATTTGTCAAGAATGACTCCTATGAGAAGGGACGGGATTCAGTGGTGGTGCACGTGTATGTGAAGGAGATCTGCAGGGACACCTCTCGCATACTTTTCCGAGAGCAGGACTTCACGCTCATCTTCCAGACCAGGGATGGAAATTTCTTGAGGCTGCATCCAGGCTGTGGGCCCCACACCATCTTCCGCTGGCAGGTGAAGCTCAGGAACCTTATTGAGCTAGAGCAGTGTATGTTCTGTTTCACGGCCTCTCACATCGATATCTGCCTCTGGAAGCGGCAGAGTCAGTGCTGGGGGGGACTGGAGGCCCCAGCTACACGAGGTGCAGTGGGTGGTGCAAAGGTTGCCGTGCCGACAGGTCCAACTCCTTTGGATGCAACCCCTCCAGGAGGTGCCCCCCACCCCCTAACAGGCCAGGAGGAAGCCAGGGCTGTGGAGAAGGAAAAGCCTAAGACCCGATCTGAGGACACAGGGCTTGATGGTGTGGTGGCCCGAACCCCTTTGGAGCATGTAGCTACAAAGCCAGAACCACACTTGGCCTCGCCCAAACCCACATGTATGGTGCCTCCAATGCCTCATAGTCCGGTGAGTGGAGATAGTGTGGAGGAAGAGGAAGAGGAAGAGAAGAAGGTGTGTTTGCCAGGCTTCACTGGCCTTATCAATTTAGGGAACACCTGCTTCATGAATAGTGTCATTCAGTCTCTGTCCAACACTCGGGTACTTCGTGACTTCTTCCACGACCGATCCTTTGAAGCTGAGATTAACTACAACAACCCACTGGGGACTGGTGGGCGACTGGCCATTGGTTTGCTGTGCTGCTCCGAGCCCTGTGGAAAGGCACTCATCAAGCCTTCCAGCCCTCCAAGCTAAAGGCCATTGTGGCAAGCAAGGCCAGCCAGTTCACAGGCTATGCACAGCACGATGCCCAAGAGTTCATGGCTTTCTTGTTGGATGGGCTACATGAGGACCTAAATCGGATCCAAAACAAGCCCTACACTGAGACTGTGAACTCCGACGGACGTCCTGACGAGGTGGTGGCTGAGGAAGCGTGGCAGCGACACAAGATGAGGAACGACTCATTCATTGTGGACCTGTTTCAGGGCCAGTACAAGTCAAAGCTGGTGTGCCCAGTGTGTGCCAAGGTCTCCATCACTTTTGACCCGTTCCTTTATCTGCCGGTGCCTTTGCCACAAAAGCAAAAGTTTCTCCCCATCTTCTATTTTGCTCGGGAACCCCACAGCAAACCCATCAAGTTTTTGGTGAGTGTTAGCAAGGAGAACTCCAGCGCCAGTGAAGTCTTGGATTCCCTCTCTCAGAGTGTCCATGTGAAGCCTGAGAACCTGCGACTGGCTGAGGTAATTAAGAACCGTTTCCACTGTGTTTTCTTGCCCTCCCACTCACTGGACACTGTGTCCCCAACTGACATGCTCCTCTGCTTTGAGCTGCTGTCCCCAGAGTTGGCTAAGGAGCAGGTAGTGGTGTTAGAGGTGCAGCAGCGCCCCCAGGTACCCAGCATCCCTATCTCCAAGTGTGCAGCCTGCCAGCGGAAGCAGCAGTCAGAGGATGAAAAACTGAGGCGTTGTACCCGTTGCTACCGTGTGGGCTACTGCAACCAGTTCTGCCAGAAAACCCATTGGCCTGACCATAAAGGCCTCTGCCGCCCTGAGAACATTGGCTACCCCTTCCTGGTCAGTGTTCCTGCCTCACGCCTCACTTATTCCCGTCTTGTCCAACTCCTAGAAGGCTATGCCAGATACTCGGTGAGTATTCCAGCCACCCTTCCAGCCTGGCCGGATGGGCTTGGAATCACAGAGTCCTGGCTGTACCACATTGCTTTCAACCAACTCCCTGGAGGCTGGAGATAGTGAGAGAGAACCCATTCAGCCTTCTGAGCTCCAGTTGGTTTCTCCTGTGGCTGAGGGGGATACAGGGGCTCCCCGTGTGTGGGCACCCGCTGATCGGGGTCCTGTACCTAGCACCAGTGGAATTTCTTCTGAGATGCTGGCTAGTGGGCCTATTGAAGGTTGTTCGTTGCTTGCTACTGAGAGGGTGTCCCGGCCTGAAGCTGCTGTGCCTGGGTACCAACACTCAAGTGAAGCCATGAATATCCACACACCCCAGTTTTTCATCTATAAAATTGATGCATCAAACCGAGAGCAGCGGCTTGAGGACAAAGGGGAAACACCACTGGAGCTAGGTGACGATTGCAGCCTGGCTCTGGTGTGGCGGAACAATGAGCGCCTACCGGAGTTTGTGTTAGTCGCCTCCAAGGAGCTGGAGTGTGCTGAAGACCCAGGCTCTGCTGGTGAGGCTGCCCGTGCTGGCCACTTTACCCTGGACTAGTGCCTCAACCTCTTTACTCGACCTGAAGTGCTAGCGCCTGAGGAGGCCTGGTACTGCCCACAGTGCAAACAGCATCGCGAGGCCTCCAAACAGCTGCTGCTATGGCGCCTACCAAATGTACTCATTGTGCAGCTAAAGCGCTTCTCCTTTCGTAGTTTCATTTGGCGCGACAAGATCAATGACTTGGTGGAGTTTCCTGTTCGGAACCTGGACTTGAGCAAGTTCTGTATTGGCCAGAAAGAGGAGCAGCTGCCTAGCTATGACTTGTATGCTGTCATCAACCATTATGGAGGCATGATTGGTAGCCACTATATTGCCTGTGCACGCCTGCCCAGCGATCGCAGTAGCCAGCGCAGTGACGTGGGCTGGCGCCTGTTTGATGACAGCACAGTGACAACAGTGGACGAGAGCCAGGTGGTGGCACGCTATGCTTACGTGCTCTTCTACCGACGGCGGAACTCTCCTGTGGAGAGACCCCCCAGGGCAGGTCACTCTGAACACCACCCAGACCTAGACCCTGCAGCTGAAGCTGCTGCCAGCCAGGCTTCCCGGATTTGGCAGGAGCTCGAGGCCGAGGAGGAGATGGTGCCCAAGGGGCCTGGGCCTCTGGGTCCTTGGGGGCCCCAAGACTAGGTGGGGCCCCCGCCACGTGGCCCTACCACACCAGACGGGGGCTGTCTCCGATACTTTGTCCTGGGTACTGTGGCGGCTTTGGTGGCCCTTGTGCTCAACGTATTCTATCCTCTGGTGTCTCAGAGTCGCTGGAGATGAGCTCATCTGCAGGCGCCTCTTGTGAGCTGGCCTACCTGCCTGCTCACCAGGCCACGCCTACCTTTGTGGTAGGGAACAACTCTGGGCTCTGGGCCTCAGTGTATGTATCTGATGGGAGATCTGTGGGGACTGCAGCCTCTGCAGGGGCAGAGTATCCTAGGGTATATGTCCATCCAGTTGTCTGTTCCTCCTGTTTCTCTGACCCTTGTCCTAGGGCTTGGCCCTGCTGCAACTATTTCCTGTATTTAAAGTGTTAATAAAGTGAGTATTCAGGCCCGAAAAAAAAAAAAAAAAAGACTGAGCAGGGTGGTGGTGGCGGTGGCACACACCTTTAATCTCAGTACTTGGGAGGCAGAGAGAGGTAGGCAGATCTCAGTGAGTTCGAGACCAGCCTGGTCTACAAGAGCTAGTTCCAGGACAGCCTCCAAAGCCACAGAGGAACTGTCTCAAAAAAATGGAAAAGAGAAAGGCTCACTGCTGAACCTGTAATCACATTAACAGGCTGAGCAGGAGGACTGCTGTGAGTTCAAAGCTAGCCTGGCCTACAAGGTAAGACCCTATCTCTAATAATAATAATCTCTGTTGGGGATCTATGCATATATGAGTACATGTGCCCAAAGAATCTACAAGAGGACATTGGATTCTCTGGGTAGTTGTAAGCCACCTGATGTGGGTGGTGAAACCAAACTTGGTCCTCTATAAGAACAGTAAGTGCTCTTAACTGCTAAGCCATCTCTCCAGCCCTCAAAAGCCAATTTTCAAAAATTGATGTTTTTTAATTAGACACATTCAAAAGTAATCATTTGCTTGATTTCATAATTCAGTGGCTATACATTCTCATATATTACCATATCTTGTCATAATTAAAGAAAAACTGAGCATATAGAGTTGATTTTAAAATTTTATTTACAACCAGTGACAATAAAAGATTTATTTTCCACACTTAAAAAGGGAGGGGGGTCTTCAGCCCATTTCTGGCTTCTTCCTCATTCCTGTCTCAACCTGTGTTTCCTGTTCTTAATTACCCCTGGTCTTCTTGGGAGCTACAGTGCCATCCATGCAATGTCACAGGCAGGGCTTGGCAAGATATCAGAGTTTGGCATCATATCAAAGATAGTAGCCTCAAATGAGCCATGCGGGACCTGTTTCTAAGAAGTCTTCCTTTCAGACTGATCTGCATAACATGAGCCTTTGCCAGGGTCACCATCAGAGGAACTCTAGGCATGCGCAGTGCTCTAAGCATGGGAGTTTCCCAGAAGTAAACCTTGAATATAGTTAAAATGTGGCAAGCCCTTTCAAAGTATTGCCTACCCCACTCCATGAAAATCTTAATATGAACCATGGGAAGAGAGGAAAACAGAAAAGATGGGTCTTATCTTAGAGAAATAAGACTTGGAAAGCTTAGAACTTAAGTCCTAAAAGTTTAAAGCTTGGTCTTGTGCTTCGCTTTTACGTTCTAACTTCTGGAGTGGATCTAGTGGATCGGACTCAGACTACCAGATAGTCTACCATTGTTTTGAAACAGAAATTACTGAAATGTCACAATTCCAAATAAACCCAACTGATTTATTCATTCCTTTAACAACAACCATTTCCACTAGTGGAGTCAGCACCTCTACTATCCACCCACTCTTTCCTATTTAACAGTAAAACCAATGCATCTTTAAAAAACTTTCTACAGTAAAAGATGTTTCTACATAAAAGTATAAAATATAAATGTTTATGTCTTATTTTCTCTTTGGCAACTACTGTTGCTTGGACAGTCTTCACTCTCCTCCCTGCATTAGGAAAAATAACACACTGACATACGAAAACATGTCAAACAGGAAAAAGGAACAGTGCCAGGTACATCCCACCTCCCACCTTGCAATTTGGTCCCTGAGGTAGCTGTCCATTAGTCCTTACAGAATATACCTGAAGTGTGTCTATGTCACCTCCCGAGCAGCTAAGTACATAGTGGAGTTCTGTCATTCAACCACGAAGGCCACATACCCACATGGCTCTTTTGGGGTATGTAACAGTTCTCTATTGAGAGATCCATATGGAGTCCTCTGTACATTCCTCATTGCTTGGGCATGGCACTGTGGTTACAGAAGGCTGGTTTTCAAGTTTCAAGTTTTAAAATCTTCAAGACCCTCCAGCATCATCTGTTCAAGCAAAAGAAATACCAGAGTGTTTCAGTTCACTAAATATTATTCAATCAGGATTTCTGTTTCAGCAACAACCTCACATGCTGAAAATTTTGAAAACATTCTGTAACAGGAATAGTAGCCACTGTCTAGAAATGGCCTTGGAGAACTTTAAATACTAGCCAGGACCAGATATAATGTAGGTGTGTAAAGACCTATGGACATCTCTACCCATGAATTTCAGTGCTATTTTCTGGTAGAATCAAGACTAATTTCAGCACACATGCAGTGAAAGCCTGTTTAAAGTATGGATAAGAAATGAAGGCTCAGGCCTGGTGGTGGTAGTGGTGCATGCCCTTAATCCCAGTACTTTGGAGGCAGAGGCAGGTAGATCTCTATAAGTTCAAGGCCAGCCTAGTCTATGGGGTGGGGGGGATGAAGGCTCAGGATGTACACACAATACTACAACACAGTTCGAAACTCCATTCCTGTGGCAATGGCTACAGGTGTGGACAGCAGGACTAAGAGGGTGGCCCTTGGCCTTTCTCATCCACATACAGAACAGGCCAAGGCTTTCTGCACACCAGAGACCAGAGGCATTTCCTCAAGCAAACATGACAACCTGGAGAGAGGCAAAGCTGATATTGCTATTACTCAGGGGCAAGGCTCTTTCTGGGTATCAAAGAGCATCTCTGCCACTAGGCACTGTCTACCAGGCAGTAGCCCTGGCACCTGAATAAACAGCATTCAGAGAGATCATGAGCATGTCAAACCCATATGTATACAGGTGACAGCAGGAAAAACAAAGCAAAACAAACAAAAAACCCCACAATTGTCTACTGACAATCTCAGACCATGGAGGAAGCCTAGATGTGAGTAAAACCAGGAACATAAAGGAGACTAACAGAAAACAAACACCTGCCCAGAGGCAACAATTAAGGAACTAGTCTGTTCCGTTTCAGTTATAGATATCCTTGCCAACTAAAAATACAAGCCAAGTGAAGAAAGACGCAAAAGGATTTTGTTCCTATACCACCTAAACTGAACTTTCCCTTTAAAGATATGATTACCAAACTCACTAAAGTTACACAGTATCTGAAAGAAGAATGCAGCCTGCAGCAGGTGTCCCTTGGGACCCCTCTAGACATGAGCCTCCACAGCCTCTGATCGCCTGCCACCCATCCTGGTGTAAACAATTCACACTGCAGATAATATTTTAAAATTGCCTTATTTGGTTTGACTAGGTTATCTGTGTGCAGTATTACTCAATAACAGACGACTTCAGCAACTCACGTCCTTGGAACATACAGTAATATACCTCTTATTCAAAATGTCTGGAGCCCAAAAGTACTTCAGGTTTCTCAGTTTTGGGTGTTTAGGAACTTTGCATAGAATTTAAAGGATTGAATATCCCTAACTGGAAATTTAAAATGCTTCCAAACCTGTAACTTTTTTAAAAAGTGTATTTTATTTTATTTTTTTGGAGGGGAGAGGGAGAGGGAGACGGCGAGGGCAAGGGGTTGCCTGCAGAGGCCTAAAGAGGATGACAAATTCCTTTGAGCTAGAGTTATGGTGGTTATGAGCCACCTGGGTACTGGGAATTGAACTCAAGGTCCTCTGTAAAGGCAGCAAACACTCTTAACCATTAAACCATCTCTCTCCCAAATCCAAAACATCTGAGTACCAAAAAGTTTTCAGTTTAGGAGGATCCCACATTAGCAACGCTCAAGCTCTGTCACGGTACGGATCAGACTCTCACTGAGGAGTTACCTTTAAATGTTCAGTATGTCATCAATATGCTAAGTGTTCTAAAGCTCTGGAAAACTATTAGAACTACATAAGGGCTTAAAAGCAAGAATCTGAAGTGGTTTCTTTAGAGATTAATGTGGGCATTCTGGCCAGTGGGGAAATACTCCCAAAATGTTGTTTGCTGACTTGGTATGAAAATGGGGTCTTTTCCTCTCGAACACTCACTGAGCTGATGCTACATCATTTGCTTGTTTTCCTTCAATAGAAATTTGGCAGTGCCTCTGGTCAGTAGTATGGAAGGCCAGGTTTCACTGCAAAGGTCTGTGTGATCCTGGCATGGTGTGTGTACCACTCCCCCCCACAGACCAGGGTGTTAGCAAAGCACTAACTACAGAACCTATGGATCAAGATGAGCCCCCACAAAACAAACAATACCTACCAGTATCTGACTGTCTGATTTTCTTTGTAACTTCGATTCCATTTTCTTCCAACTTCCTCTTCGCACAATCCTGACATGCATTACCTTTAAAAAATTTTAAAACCAATTTACATTAAAATAGTCCAGGAGGGAAAAAGGCAGCATGAGGGTAACAGATGTGGGGTGATCTGGGAATTCACTTGTTATCCTTGCATAGCCCTGCATAGTGGAAACACTTTTTATGGTGTAGATATGAAGTATCTCTCACACCTAGTGGGTTAGAGGCTTGCTCCCCAAAACAGAACTCCAAAGTTAGACTGTTGGGGGTAGTGATTAGATCCCAAGGTCTCCAGTCTAATCAACGACATTGGGGGTACCAGCTGGAAGAAGTCAGTAACTGGGGCATGCCCTTGCTCCTGGATTTACTCTCTTCTTCCTGTCTCCTCTCTCTCTTCTCTCTCTCCTCTCCCTCTCCCTCTCCCTCTCTCTTCTCCCTCTCCCCCTCCCCCTCCTCCCTTCCCCCTCCCCCCCTCTCTCTTGTCACAGGCCCAGAAACAATGGAACCAGGTGACCAAAGACTCAAGTCTGAGAGCCAAGTTTCTATTTTGCTTTTTCTGCAGAATTTTGTTACAGAAAGGCCAGTAGGGAACTGGTGCTAACAAGTGAGGTCATGCTCTGTCTGAACATGTGCATCAAAAGCCTTTAAAGCAGTATGCAGGAGTGATTTACAAGTTTTAGAGAAACAAGTTAGGGAAAGCTTGAAGATGCTGAGTGTTCAGAAGCCTAGGAGGCTGCTGGGAATACAAACAGTAAGGACCGCTCACAGGATCAGGTGAAAATGAGGACCCTAGGGGATTAGATTAGAGGCCATTCATTTCACATTCTAGAAAACATTAGTAATTAGTTAATTAAAAGTCTATTTTGTCTATGCCCTGAGACCTTGTGGGAAGCTGAATTTAAAAATGATAGGACTAAATAATCCAGTGAAGAAAACTGCAACGTTGCATAGAACTCCAGCTATGGAACGGGTACTACTAACTGCTTTTAGCTACCTCACAGAGTAAAAAGCAAAAAGAAAAGAACTGGAAAATCTCACAGTTAGACCAGAACAGTAGGACATTTGAAGTTGGGATTAAGGAAGATGTGGCTGCCAATTAAGATTAGCACCATTAAAAGCACAACCCATTCTGTACCAAAACAATGGGAAAAATACCCTGAAGATCTCAGAAATCAGCCAGGGCTATCTGTCAATCACAGGCTCAGGGGGATACGGCTGTTTGCTCAGGGGTGCCTAGGTAACCTTCACTCACCCCTGCAGGCACATAGAAGCCACTACAGCCATGGGCCAACGATACCTGGTTACTACTACTGCTGGCAACAATGTTTCCTGTCTGGTTTCATAGACACATAGGATGCATGAGTTGTGGAGTCACGGAGACTTCTACCCAAATTTGATATGGAAGCCAGAGAGGCCAAATATGAAAGGGCCAGGGTCCCTCAGCACTGACCGGGTAGATGCAGGAAGCTGAGTGAAACCGAAGCTGTAATGTAAGCACCAAACAGCCGGGACATGAGATATCTGCTACAAATGCTGCCAGCAACAAGCAGAGCCAACCCAGGAGAGGCCATATGAGCTGTAGCTGACAAGGACACACAACAGAGCTACCTACACCACTGCCGGTCAGCCTTGCACCTTGGCCCTCCGTGTCAGACCTGGAGCTGTGGGATTTAATGTTTGCCGTGCTGGATTTGGGTCCTGCTTTAGTCTAAGCCCTACTTATTACCCAATTCCTTCCTTTTGGCATAGGAAATGTTTATTATGCCAACTGTATGTTGGAAACATGTACATTTTTATTTACTTTTTACAGATTATAGCTAAGAGTCATCTCACATGTCAGAACAGACTCTGGCTTTGACCTTCCTTGATTTTGCTGTTTGTGACACTGTTAATATTAGTCACTTGTCTGTTACTGTGACAAACACCATGACTAAGGTACCTTCTAGAAGGAAGGGTTTATTTTTGGGCTAACAGTTCCAGAGTGTTAGGGTCCATAAGCATCATGGCAGGGAAACGTGGCAATCAGCAGGCACGGTGACTGGAGCAGAAGCTGGGAGCCCACATCTCTAGCTGCAAGCAGGAAGGAGCAAGAGTGTCTGGGAATGGCCTGCGGCTCTGAAACCTCAAAACCCACTCGCTCCCAATGACACACTTCTTCCATCAAGGCCACGCTTCCTAGGCCTCCCAAAACAGCACCACCAACTGGAAACCAACCATTCAAATGTCCAAGACTTCTAGGAGACATCCTATTCAAACGACCACATGATCTCACCAGCCTATGTGCACTGAGCCTGTACTGAATGGGCTAGCAGGTGGGCTATGGCTAGAGAACACAGGTCGCTGGGAGCATGTCCTGTTCCTGGCCCTTTCTCTGTACTCTGCTCTGCCTTACCATGCACAGGACGGAATAAAGGGAACCATGTGACTATGGCCTGAAAGCTCTGAAACTAAGTGCCACAGCAAGTCCTCCCTCAAGTTCTCTCAAGTATCTTGGTATGTGCTAGCACACTGTTACAGAATCTGCACCTGATTTTATTTCCTGCCATGTACTGCATAGCTTACCAACCGAGCAACTGCTGCTTTCAAAGGAAAATTATTATGCTGGGGTTCACACTAAAGGGGAAAACTACAGCAAACAATAATACCCTCTCACACAGACATGAAGAGCAGAGGACAGCTCTTACCACTCCTGAACTGAGCCAATTCCACCACTGGTAGGGACTGGGAGCAGCTGTTCCTACACTGCCACACTGTTATATGCGGACACATGGGTCTAACAGGCAGCAATGGCAAGCTGAACTGAGGCTCCTGTTCACTGGCTAGAACCCTTTTTAGCCCAACTGACTCAGGCAGTAGAGACAGTCCTACCTAATTTGCCCACTGAAGACTCCTCTGCTTATAAACTGGTAGTTCAAAGTCCAGCAAGGCCATTCACACTACAAGCAAGTATTAGAAGAAAAAATATATATGAAAGTTTAAGGGAGGGACAGGTCGCCCTAGATTACTGGGCCCTTTACTGAATGGCATAATGTAAACAGAGCATTGCTCTGATTTCTTCTAACTCTTGGTTCTAGGGTAGGAATTATGGCAGGCAGCCCATCATTAGGCTAGGCTTCCCAGTGAGAGGGAAGGACTTTTACCTTTACTGTGGTGGGGACTGTCTGAAGGCATTGCTCTCTGTCCATTCTGTGCTATTTAATAAGGCAACTTACTGACTGGAAGGAACACTTTCATGACTGTACCTATGGTGAACTATGAAAGCAAAAGTCAGATGAGCAAAAGGAAAGATCTGCTTTACCCAGTAAGGTGGTGCTGTCCACTCGCTCAGCATCTGGGAAGAGAGGAAACAGTCAGCAGCAAAGCCAAGACTGGGAGGACTCCTCCTCAGGCCTGGAATGATGGCAAAGGCTATCCCAAGGCCACCCACTGCTTGGGACAGGCTTCTGTGTCAACTGTATCACACGCCAGCCACGAAGCCCTACCTGTGTCACTCCTTCTTCACCTGGTGAGAGAGATGTTAAGAACCCACTGCATGACATTCACATGAAGCATGGTGAGAAAGAGGTAAGAACCCACTGCATGACCTTCACATGAAGCATGGTGAGACAGATGTAACCCACTGCATGACCTTCACATGAAGCATGGTGAGAGAGAGGTAAAAACCCACTGCATGACCACATGAAGCACGTGGAGAGAGATGTAACCCACTGCATGACCTTCACATGAAGCATGGTGAGACAGATGTAAGAACCCACTGCATGACCTTCACATGAAGCATGTGGAGCTGGCAGGCGCATGGAGAGAGACACAGCACCCATAACAGCTAATGTCACCTTCACTGCCAGTAGGCACCCTTGCCCATCAGGAGAGAACACAGAGACACATGTCCTTCATGACAGGCACAGACGAAAACCTCAGCGACATTTTCCTCCTCTAGCAGCTTACTGAGTCCATTCAGTGGCCAGGCCCTGGAAAAGGTGCTTCCGTAGGGACAGAGGTAGTTCAGCTGCTGACTCTATACACATGCTCAGTGGCTAGGTGCTGTCTTCTAGGGAGTCATGGTTGGGGAGGCTGAAGAGGTGGTGGACGGGACAAGGGTGAGCAGGATGAGGGAGGTTTCTGAAGATCCATGCACACAACTGGTACCAAGACCAGTTTGTCTGTGTTAGTCCAGGATCAAATCCCAGCTCCAAAGTTCTGGCACACATTGGGAAAATACCTCCCTCAGCTGGTATCAACTCTAAAATCATCCAAGTAGCAAAAGGTACTGATATTAAAAATAAGGGCAACTGGTCATGGTGGCGCACGCCTTTAAACCCAGTATATGGGAGGCAGAGGCATGCAGATCTCAGTGAGTTCCAGGACAGCCAGAGAAAAAAGTGAGACCCTGTCTCAAAATAAACAAAATAATAATGGCAAAAATATAAAATTTGTAGTTGTGCATGACACCGCTCTACAACATGAATTCTCTGTTCCCAGTAAGAAACTGACAACCCCCTAATTATACACTACTCATAATTTAGCAGCTGAAGCGCCAGTGGCAGAGACTCACGGCTGCTGTACTATGTCCAGCTGTCTCTCGCTGGTCTCTACTAGCCTCATTCCACCACGTGGAGAGCCTCTGAGCTTCCTGTTACCATGAAAGGTCAGTCAATACAGAACTTTCCATTCTTCCTGTCATCCATCAAAGCCATTATTTCCCTTGTGTAAAAGTGACTTGGGCAGTAGTTCCCATTACTGTGGTATAAACTGGCAGAGCAGGGACTCCCTAGAAAGGCCAAAGAGCACAAATGAGATGTACGCTGTGCCTCACACAGCACAGAGATATGCTCTGAGGAGAAAAAGAATTCAAAGCCACCAGAAACTTTTGTGCTTCTCAGGGTTTAGATTTAAAATGCACTGACAAGATGAAGTATTACAACCAACCTGGAAAGTTTTACAGTCTGAGAGGAGGGAGAACTGAAGGAAGAAGCCATGAATTATGCTTGGAAAGCAATGGCAGAGCTCCATACCTGGACTTCGCTGTTTGCAGATCTGAGTGGCAAGGTCTTGCACATAGCCTGGGAAAAGGTCAAAGCAGTCCCCATAGGACACGACTTTAATTCCATGCAAAAGCATGTCTGCTTGGTGCTTGAAGAAGTGGTCTTCATTTTCCTTGAGCACTACCATGTAGTGCTCTAAGTCCACCTTGTTTGGCACCGAGTACAAGAAAAGAGCTTGGAAGATCTGGTCGCGCAGGGTCTCTCCACAGCCCACAAACAGGAAGGACTTGGTGCGGTACAAGTTTTGCAGGACTTCCTGGGGAAAGCCAAAAACAAAGGAAGACACCTCTGTGAAGACAGCAGGAGCCCACAGTTAACACAGCCAGCTCTGTGCTCCTTTACATCCTATCCTGTACCCACCAGGCTTCCTAAGGGCCACCCTGAGGAGCTCTGAAAGGTTAAGAGCTCTTGACACACTCAGGTCAACCCCATGCAGTGAGCTGCACAACTAGAGTTCAGCTAGGCAGAGATCCACCTCTCAGCTAGGATTCCAAGGAGAACCAGCAGAGCGGGGTACTGGCCAACCTGCCCAGCATGAATGCACCTCAAAGTGAGGACAGCCTATGGTGCACCTGTGGCTTGCCAAATCGACTCACCTAAGTCAACTAACTCCTAGACTTACATACAATCTTCAATTACTAAAACATGAAACAAGAACATTAAAATGTTCTCAGTTCTGCTGGGGGCGGTAGCACATGCCTTTAATCCTAGCACTCAGGAGGCAGAGATAAATGGATCTCTGTTGAGTTCCAGGCCAGGCTGGTGTACACAGCAAGTACCAGGCCAGCTGGGGCTATATAGTGAGAACCTGTCTCAAAATTTTTTTCTTGGTTCAAAATTATATACATACAACAGCCTGGAACTAATGAATGGATAGATGAACTGGATCCCACAGTAGGTAGGGGCAGATGAATTGTGGGGTGTGAAACCAAGAGAGCTGTGAAGGGAAACAGGCAGTGAGCCGAGCACAGAGGAGGGTCAGGCAGAGGACCAGCAGTCACTGATTCACACATGAGGCCCAATACCAGGACAGCACTTTCTCATGCTGAGGGTCTCAGCAGCATCAGCTCTTACTGGCCCAACACACACCTGCTGACACCATCCCTGGTGACAGAGACCAGAGAAGAGCTCTGGGGAAGATGGACCTGATCCTAGGCATACTAAAAGTGAACACACACCAGGCGTTGGTGGCGCATGCCTTTAATCCCAGCACTTGGGAGGCAGAGGCAGGCAGATCTCTGTGAGTTCGAGGCCAGCCTGGTCTACAGAGCTAGTTCTAGGACAATCTCCAAAACAATACATAGAAACCCTGTCTTGAAAAAAAACTAAAGAAAAAATGAACACACAGGTTCAAGTCAGAGTTCTAGATAGCCTGCTAGGGTGGCACGCGCCTGTAACACTAACGCTTGAGAGATAGAGACAGGAAGACCTGGAGTTCAAAGATACTTAGCAAGTTTGCAGCCAGACAGACTACATGAGACCCCATCTCAGAAATGGGGAAGGTGGTGGCTAGGACAGAAGAGCAGGCAGCATTTTGCCAGGACAGGGCTTTTCCACACACTCCATGTGGACATCTAAGGACATCAACAAAGGCTTGCAGGGGCTGAAAGATGTTCTGTGGCTAAGGAGGAGCATGGAAGCTCTTCCAGAGGACCCCGTTCAGTTCCCAGCACTAAAGGCAGGGTAGCTCAACCACCTGCAACTCCAGCTCTAAGGGACCCAATGTCTCTGGTCTCTGTGGGCACCTGCACTCACTATGTATGTATGTACACACACACACACACACACACACACACACACACACACACACACACACATCTTTGTTTAAAAAATTAAGAAAGTTGGGTGTGGTAGCAAATACATTTAATCCTAGTACTCAGGAGTCAGAGGCAGGCAGATCTCTGTGAGTTGAAGGCCAGCTGGCCTATATAGTGAGTTCCAAGTCAGATAGGGCTCTGAAGAGAGACCCTGTATTTAAAAACCCTAAAATTTTAAAAAGTGAAGAAGGGCTGTCAGAAAATGAGGTTTTAACTGGCTATGTCTGCCATGTGTGCTGGCAAGGAACTAAGGGCATGCACATGCTTATCAAGAGCTCAGCCAGAGCTCCATTCTTAGCCCTGATTTTAAAACTAGGTTTGGAAAGTTGAACAGACCACTATGTAAGGAACATGAGAACTGTAGGACAGGAGACACCTGAGCAAACACAGAGAACTGATGAACAGGGAAAAACATAGAGGAAGACACAGACTACCAACATCACACTAGACTCCTGCCAAGTTTCTGGCAAGGAAACTACTGCAAGCTAGTGCTGGCACCTAGAGAGGTTTGTACTTTCTAAGGAAGCACACATTTCTGCCTCCAGCAAGTGTGCCCTGAGCATCTACTCAAAATGCATACACCACACCAGAGCACATAGACAAAGCTAAGAACAGGAAAACATGGTCCTATTCCCAGCAGCCGTGTGGAGGATCGGAATGCCTACAAAACACTCAGACTACAGCCAGATGGCTGCTCGCCATCATAAATTCCGCAGGACAGGTACCCAAGGCTTAGTGAAAGCAGGCATACCATTACTTCTGGATCTTGAGTGACATCTTTATAGCCCGATGGATCCAGTACCATCCCACAAGGGTCTGTGTACAAGCCATGAATATGAAGAACTCCGTACTTGATGTGGCCTCTTGCCCACTGAAGGACCTATCAAAAACCAAACCAAGACAAAGAAACAGCCTGGTGTTATTTCAGACAAGGTACAAAAAGAAAACTATCTGGAAAGGTGAATGTTTCCACTCAAAATTATGCCTTGAAAACAAACTGCTGTTGGCAGTTACTCCTGCCCCAGAACTCAGCCAGATCTCTAAAGACGTGTGTGGGGCAGAACTCTGCTGCTGCTGCTATGGCAGTGACTGCAGGGGAAGGGCCTTCCTTAGTTATATGCAGTTAATCATTCTGTGGTGTTGCGCAGTTGTCGTTGGGTTTGTTTCCATTTCTCGGTTTTGCGGCGCTGCAGGTAAAGCCCAGCTCCTCCTTCACATATGCCAGATGAAGTATTCTACCTCTGGGCTCTAAAACCAGTTCTATGTTACTTTTACACCAGCAAATATATAGAGAAAACGGCCATTATCAAATAGCCTCTGCATTTGTTTCAGCTCTAATTACAGAGCTAAGCAGGTTTCAGGACACACTCCATGCCTATGTGGCTCATCCCTTGGTGTGAGACCCCTGAATCTCCAGGCCGACAATTCTTACCCATAGCTGACTGTTCGTTTCCTAAGGTGCTGTCATGCTCAGCCACAGCCTAGTCTCACCCCCTCCCAGGACCATGTCACAGTATAGGCTACCCCAGCAGCCAGCCTGTGTTCACAGCCAACTCAAGACAGGCTACCACAGAGAGAGCATGTGTACCACAACTCAGTGGCCGACAGCACAGCTCAAATTCACAGTGCTCTTTCTGCCTCAGCCTCCATAGTGCTAAGGTTCCAGGCGAGCACCACCATGGCTGTTTGCTTTGTTCTTAATAACTCCACTGCGGGCAAGGGATAGGGAACGGCTGCCACACGGGTGGAGCGGTACGATGGCCTCTAGCACTGGGACTACAGGCACCACCACACCAGGCCAGAGTCACTGCCAACAACTTCCTGGCACTTCTCCCTGAGAACCCGCCCTCACTTTTCCTTAGTAAATCTACATTTGCTCTTTAAAATAATAGTAATAATAATATAGTTTGAATGAGAATGGCCTTCATAGACTCATCTATTTGAATGCTTGTTGCCCAGTTAGAACTGTCTGGGAAGGATCAGGAGGTGTGGCCTTGTTAGAGGAAGTGTGCCTTGAGGGGTGAGCTAGGTTTCAAAGGCCCACACCAGACTGACACTGACTGACTGACTGACTGACTGACTGTCTGTCTGTCTGTCTGTCTGTCTGTCTGTCTCTCTCTCTCTCTCTCTCTCTCTCTCTCTCTCTCTCTCTCTCTGCCTCCAAGGTATGTGAGCGCTCAGCTACTACCCCAGCAACACACCTGAGTACCTGCTGCCATGCTCCCTGCCATGATGGTCACAGACACCCTCTGAGACTATAAGCAAGCCTTAAATAAATGCTTTCCTCTACAAGGTGCTTTGGTCATGGTGTCTCAGCAATAGAACAGTAAGTAAAACAAATAACTTAATGAAGTTGGGCATCATGGACTATGCCGGTAGTCCTAGCACTTGGGAGACAAAGACAGGAGGATTGCTATGACTTCAAAGCCAGCATGGTCTATATAGTGAGCTGCAGCCCACCTACAACTATATAGTATGAGCCTGTCTCAAAAAACAAACAAAAACAGCTAATGGAAGCAAGGAACATTGCTGTGCATCTATAAGCCCAGTACTTGAAAGCAGAGGCACGTAGATCCCACATATGAAATCTGCCTGAACTATTCAGTAACACCCTGTCTCCAGAGTAAATATGAAGAGAAAAAAATTAAAAACAAGATTGAAATGTTTGTATATGTTGCAATCCCAATTGTGTGAGTAAGAATCCACAGTGGGAGGATTATAGTTGTTTCCTTTGTATCTACTTTATCGTCCATATTCCCATGGTGACTGCTAATGAATAAATGTAGATGAGCAATGCTTGCAGGGCAGAGGACAGCATGAAAAGGAAGAAGGGGTGGACAACAGCAAGCATCACGAGAGGGGAGGGGCATGACTCCCAGGCTACTTGAAGAAATTGCTGTGTGGCTGTACCTTCGTCTTGTCCTTCAAGTCCAGGGACTCCATGGGCTTGCTCTGCTGCTGCCCAAAGATCTCCAGCAGGTTGTCATAGTTGGTAGTCAGCACCATGGTGCCTCTGTCCATCAGGCTGAGGATGGACTGCAGTACCACAGGGTTCTGGATGTGCTGTTCCAAGCTGTCAAAGACCTCCATAAGACAATCCTGGAAGAAGTTGGGCTTGGTGTCGCCTGTACGCTAAGGAAAGGGAGATCAAGAATTAGGAACACAAGCTGGGAGTGACGGCACTCACCTTTAATCCCAGCACTCAGGCACTCAGAGACAGACAGGCGGAGTTTGAGACCAGCCTGGTCTTCATAGTGAATTACAGGCCAGCTGGGTCTACATAGAGACCCTGTCTCTAAACAACAACAACAGGCTAGGAACACCAGAGCTCGACTATGACAATGACGTGGCATGTGAGTAGGAGTCAGTCTTCAAGGGGGAGGACAGTCGAGTGCAAGGATGTACCACTGCAGCCATAAACACTCCGGGAAAGCAAGGCAGGGCAGGGGGTGTAGGCACCACTGGGGTGATGTGGGCAGTCAAGGGTCCATACAGGTTTCCCTGCAAATGGAAGTCCAGGCAGAGACCTGTCTCAGGACTGTTGCAAGCACACAGGGGCGAGTACAAAGACACTGAGGTATTAGTAAAAATGGGTCCAAGGTCAGGACGAGCTCGCTCGTGTGTGGCTAGGAGAGGGAGGGGAAGATTAGCAGGGAGGTCAGAGAAGTGACCCAGAACCAGGTTATAAGTACATAAAGTCCCTGCTTTCCCCAAGTGGGGCAGGGATGAGGGGGAGAAGTTGTAACAGCAGAGAGAAGGAACCAGAGGATGGGGCTGAGCTGGACAAACACAGGGGTCAAGAGGCCACACATTCCCCTGAAGAGCAGCCCTACCTAACCTCGGCTTCCTACACAGCACTGAGTTTCCAGTCAGCACCACCTCAAGGGCCCACAGGTCAGAGCCACCAGGCGAGCTTCCCTTAGGCCCCTCCTGGAAGGCTATGGGGATGACATTACTGCAGCCACTCCCCTGCAGTGCCTGCTAGCCCTCATCTTTAGTCACGGCACCGGAACACTCCTTGCAAACCTGCCAGCACAGCAGGAGAGGCCTGCTGACCTCCTCACCTGACTCCTTGGGAGGTTTAGGACAGTGCACAAGGGTAAGTAGCGACAGATGGCACTTCAGACGCATCTCCTGACCAACAATGATCACCATGACAGCCTCTCCCTGCAGTGCTGCCCAGCTATCCACAGACTTGGCCTTCATCTTCCTGTGTAAGGAAAGGGTCAGCATCCTTTGCAAAGGCCAGAGAGTAAATCTGTTAGGCCTGTGGCCACAGCTTCTACTGCAACTACTCAAGCTGGCCTCTGGGCATGAAAGCAGCCATAGACAATGTGCCAGCAGGAGGGTATGGCCACATGCCAACACAACTTTATAAAAATGGCTAGCAGATCAGGTTTGGCCCGGCCCCTGCCTACAATGTCGGCTGTCCCTGATTAACAGAACACCCACAACTTGGCACAGCCGCCACCTAACTGAAAATGTCCCCAGCATGGGAAGGTGAGGTGCAGCAGTAGGGTGAAAACCCTGCTCTAGACTCCATGGGAAGCCATGGAAGGGTGAAGTTTGACAGTCTCCACTGCCCCTGAAGGGACAGGGGGAAGTGAGGCAGACAGCTATACAAAGACAGGGAGCTTCATGCTGAGGGTGGCAGGGCCCAGGTCCCCAATGCCATAAAGCTCTTGCACTCTCCTGGGCTGCCTCCCCAGGGTTCAGTGCAGGAGTCAGAGTTACTGTCACAATAAAACCATACCATTTGGGCTCTCTTTCTGGCCCAAAACCTCTCCTACCCTTCCCTTAGGCTCACATCTCATTCCTCCCGCCTCCTCTAAATGCCGACTGCACATCTCCCACCAACCCAGACCAGTGAGAAGCAGCCTACTCCAGCTTCACACACTGTACTCAGCACCTGTACCAGACAGACACCCACGAGCTGGCCGTGCCTCTCAGTAACTGCCCCCTGCATCACCAGCTATGTTTATTACCCCTCTGCTGTGTCACTTCTATTGGCAGACAGACACTGATTTCCCACCTTAAAATGTCTTCTGAGGCCGGGCGTTGGTGGTGCACGCCTTTAATCCCAGCACTCGGGAGGCAGAGGCAGGTGGATCTCTGTGAGTTCGAGACCAGCCTGGTCTACAGAGTGAGTTCCAGGACAGCCTCCAAAATAATACAGAGAAACCCTGTCTCAAAAAACCAAAGAAAAGAAAAAGAAAAACCCTATCTCAAAAATAAAAAGACAAAAGGACCTGCCAGGCTGAGCACTAAAACATGAGTACCTCTGCTCATGGAGACAGTGTTCATCCTATTCACTCCCTCAACCTGGTCTAGAACCCAAAGTCGGCCCCATGAAACCTCAAGTGTTTGAGACTCACAGGTGACATTTTCCGGATCAGATCATGGGCCACAACCAGCAGGTCCCGGTCCTTCATCACCTTCCTCCGGAACTCGGCGACGTCCCCAGGGTGCAGAACCTCCAGCTGCTCTGCAGCCTCGATGACAGCCTCAATGCAGCTCCTCCAAGAGCAGAGGGCACGGATCCCTGGGGCCACTGCGGCACTCACGCCAGTCCCAATGACCAGGAGCAGGTCCTGCGGTTGCTTCCTAATGAGACTCTTTAAAAACTTTCTATTTAAAAACAAGGGAATAAGAAGCCAACAGTCAGTTTGGAAGTACTGCAAGCTTCCAGTCTAGAAACATCTAGAATGTTCAGGTAAAAAATTGGCCCTTCCATTCACTACCAGAAGACAAAGCCCATATTGCCCACAATGATAGGCACATTTACATGACAGTACCTGTGAACAAAAAGTTCCTACCCTCTCATCCTTTGAAGTTGCAAGTAACTTGTAAACACTGTAAGGACAAAATGATCTTGCTGTGGTGACAGCAAGAGAATTTCTAACAAAACGCAGGTTTTCTGCCACCTAAAACCCACTGCGTTCTCCAGGGAGCAGTTCACTCCGCATCACTTTCCAGTAAGTGGAACCTGGGGCCAGCCACTCACGTCCCTCCCTCCAGCTCCATGCTGCTTGCTTTCGAGATGGGACTTGGAAAGCCACTTTCTGCGGTGAGCTGCTCTGGGTTCCCTCCAGTTCCTGTGTTTCCTAACTGATTTTATTTACCTTGATTTCTGTTCACTTCTGTTCGTTGTCTTTTCCACTGACTCCATCTGTGAATCCTAAAGAGAAATGCATTAGGAACAGATCCTATCCCCAGATGAAAGACTTTTTACAAGTACCCTGGAAGATAGTAAAGAATGAGGTTGAAATCAAAGGTCCTGACTCTCCATGAAATCAGACTACCTGAAAAATACTATGAAAAGATAAGTGTGTTGGGCGTTGGTGGCGTACACCTTTAATCCCAGCACTCGGGAGGCAGAGGCAGGCGGATCTCTATGAGTTCGAGGCCAGCCTGATCTACTGAGTGAGTTTCAGGACAGGCTCCAAAGCAATACAGAGAAACCCTGTCTCGGGAGAGAGGGGGAAGGGGAGTGCAAACAGTTCCTCTGCTGCCACTGCTAACCTCACCTGGCTTCCACTGGTCAAGTGTTCCAGCATCTAGTGCCAGACATCAGGTAGAATGAGCAGCTCTCATGAGCTAGATCCACACTGCGTGTTTTCACCTTGGAAATGTCTCTTGAAGACAAAACCATCTACAATTTTCCCATTCCCCATCACCCAACTGCTTTGAGTCTTGAACTACTGTTTACTGTAAACAAGGAAATATGCAGAGGACTTGGTATGAAGGCCAACATCCTACTATCACGGAGAATTATGATACCATTTGCCCCATCTACCACCAGGCTTTTAACTGATGTTTTTTCATGTTATTTGAGAGTCTAGTACCTGACCTAATTTTAGTTCCCTGTGTTCTTAGAAATTATTCAAAACTAAAAGTGAGCCACACATGTGGGGTTACAGTATACTGACTGATAAACCATCTTGAATAGCCCTTCACTAATGCAAGATACTAGCAGCGTGGTGAGCAACTTGTGTGCAGAACTTGTAATCACTTTGACCCTGTCTATGGAGGGCAGCCCTCTGAGAAGCAGAACTGCTGAGTTACAGGTATGGGCAGAGCACACCTACAATCCCATCAGCTAGAAGGGCAGATGCAGAGTTAAAGGCCCACCTAGGCTATGTAGAGACAGGTGAGAAGCAGCAGCCCTGCCTCTCCCTCATCAGCACACCTTGCAGCAGCACTTCCCAGGGGTCAGCAGTGGGAGGAATGCCGGCCCTGCCAACCCTCACCACAGACTGAAAACTGTTGTCCACGTTCTAATCTTTTTCTTCTTCAACTAAAATTAGGTCACCAAAAATAATTTTCCAGAGAAGCCACAAAGCTCAATGGGTCTGTAAGTTGCAACCTCAGGCTGGAGGTTGCAAAACATGTGATGCAGCCATCCTCCTACCTTGGAGGAGAGCACTCACAGCTTCCAAAATCCCCAAGGGTCTCAGACCTTTCTTCAGTGCTAAGAAACTAGTCCATGGGCCAACAAAAGTGAAGGTGTCGGAGGATGCCACCTACCCGAGGGAAGAAGGGGCCAGCAGAGTGCAGGTGCCCACCTCACTGCAGGCACCATCCAAGGCCAAGTCATCTTCTAAGGCAAGTTACAAGTATTCTACTTCACATAACCTGTCCCTGCACACAGAGCCCTGTGGATCCCACCCCAGGAATCCAATGAGCCGATACATATTTATTGGGTCTGTCTCCAACCGTAAAGCACAGATTCCTGGAACCGGCCAAACTTCCAAGCTCAGTCCTCTCCGGAAGGAAAGTGCTCTACAAACCAAACTGCTGGGCCCCACAGCTGAGAAAGGGGGTGGGGGTCCCCGAAGGACAGAGTACTGAGAGATGCACTTCCTGTTTGAAGTTACCATGATCAGACTAACTCAAGGCCATCAAATTAACTGCGTCTTCAGAGTGGTTATCCTTCCTGCCTAGGAGAAAGCCCTTCATCTTGGCCAGCTCTACCCAGCACTTTACAGCTGACTTCAAACAGACACAGGCAGCCAACATGCCTTAGAAATGACACAGCCCCAACTGTTACCACATAAAGAACTTGAAAACTCTCTAGCTCTTTCCTACTGTCCAACTGCTTTTGTTCTCCATACATCCAAAACCATGCATTTAGACCTCGGCGAAGTAACACAAAAAACAAGTGATTTCAGTTCCCCAAGAGAACAGGAGACACTCACAGGAGAGAACCCTGCTCTGGGCAGGCACGCTGTGGCTGGTTCCTGCTTGCTCGGCTCTGTCTGAGCTTGAGCTGGGTGTCTGGAGAGGTCTCTGCAGCCGGCACTCCCAGTATCATAAGGATTCCCACTGGAGTGGGAGAGGGGCCTCTGGGCTTTTAGACTGCTTGAACCTCTAGGGATAGAAGCAACCAGCAGGGGACGCACAAGACACTTAGACTCAGCACAGGAACCATGCGGTGATAACTGCATAGCTGCCCATATTTAGACATTTACAGTTCTTTATAAACACTACATGCTTAAAGACATTACCTCATTTCCTGTTTTTCAGCAGCCAAAAGATCAGAGCCAAGCCTCATAATAATCCAGAGAGTGCTCAAAATCTCCCCTTTGTTTTTAAACCAAGGCCCAAGTAGGAGATTTGCCCAGCTTGATCTGTGCCAAGAAGTTTCTGGAGGTCATTCTACCTCTGATGTTCCTTTCCCTTCTCAATGGCCACTCCTTTAAGCCAATCACATTCTAGACAACAGTAACAAAACCCTTTGGAGGCCTCTTAGATGCTGCAGCTTTCTGTTTCCTAGGTGACCATGTCGTCACCAGTTTGCAGTCTCAAAGCCAAGTCATCATAGCAACTGATTTTTTTTCATAAAAATCTACCAGTGTTTTCTAAATGTAAAAAAAGCATGCCCAAAGCAGACTCTTAAAAGCAGTTACTGTCCTTTTTATCTAAAACGCCCAGCAAAGTCACAGCATAATGTTTTGTGCCTAGAATAAGAAATCACAGCCATTTTACACAAAAGAGCTCTGTAGTAGATAGACTGCCTTGATTTTTTTTTAACCCTTGGCATAAACAGCACTAACTGTATATGTTCATCAGAAGGGCTGGAGACATGGCTCAGTGGTTATGAGCAGACACTGCTCTTACAGAGGTCCTGATTTTGGTCCCAGCACCTACTCCAGGTGGTTCACAGGGATCTCCAGCTCCAGCCAACCTAACGCCTCTGACCACCCCGGGCACCTGCTCATATGCATGTACTCCCACACTGACACACATCCCCATATAGCTGTGAGGAGGAACTCGCACTTCTAAGCACTTGTAACCCACCCTGGTGGATCACTGACAATTCCCATCAAGCCCCCAGATATCCACACCCCACACAGCGACTCTGGTCTTAGTCACGTGATTTCTTTAGTCACTGCCACACCAACAAACAGGATAAAAGTGAAAGTTTGACAAGCACTAGGCAGTGCAGCCTGTCCTCTGCAACTCAGCCCTGTGAAGTCAGTCCAGCCTCCTGGGAGAATAAGTGTCACCCGGTTGAGGAGTGCGCCTACCCTAAGCCACTCAGTCCAAGAGCACTGTGTGAGCCACCCAGTGGAGCTTTGCTGAGCCAGGCCCAGCCCAAGCTATATAAGTGGCCCTTGTCTGAAAGGCTGGCTACAGCCAGGGTTCTACACTGCCACAAAGATCAGAAAGGAGAAAGAACAAGTTGGGGTCATCATAAGAGTGGTTATAAGGGGGAGGGGGGTGCAGGGGCCCTGATCATCACAAGTGCTGTAACAGTAACTAAATTAAGTCCAAGTCTGTGGGAGCCTCATAAACTACGCTTTGTTTTGTTTTGTTTTCCATACACGTTTTCTCTGAGGAGCTTTGGAGCCTGACCTAGAACTCACTCTGTAGACCAGGCTGGCCTGGAACTCACAGAGATCCGCCTGCCTCTGCCTCCTGAGTGCTGGGATTAAAGGCATGTGCCACCACCGCCTGGCCAGAAATTATGCTACTAAAACCCTGACCTCGCCAGGCAGTGGTGGCGCACGCCTTTAATCCCAGCACTCGGGAGGCAGAGGCAGGCGGATCTCTGTGAGTTCGAGGACAGGCTGGACCGACAGCCTCCAAAACAATACAGAGAAACCCTGTCTCGTAAAAACAAAAACAAAAACAAAAAAACAAAAAAAAAAAACAAAAGAAAAGAAAAATTTGACTTCTGCCTGAGCACACGCTTTCAATCCCAGCACTTGAGAGACAGAGGAAGACAGATCTCTTTGAGCTCAAAGCCAGCTAGTGCTACACCAAACAAAAATTCTACAGGCTTTAAGTGCAAAGATGCAGAAGAGGTGAAGCTACAGCTCAGTAGCCAAGGCTTGCCCAGCAGGCTCAAAGTCCTGGGTCCCAGCACCTCACACACAAAGCCCTGCAGGAAGACGTGTAGCCGCAGGCTGCACAGTTCTATCACACTGAAGGAGAGGTGAACAGACATTCAAAACCCACTCCCTCTCCCAGCAGGAGGGGCAGGCATCACATTCGAGGACAGACCTTCACATGGTAAGGATGACAGCTCAGTGCTAGAGTTTGCCTAGCATCCATGATGCCCTACATTCCATCCCCAGCACCATGAGAACCAAGAGCAGACCTTTAACTCACCTGAAGTCAGTTCAAAGTGTGACAGAAGAAAAGGATACCTTGTATTCAGACACGATTAGTGTGGCCAGCAATGAGCTGTCTTCTGAAGGCCCTGGGAACAAGGCCATACCTCCCAATCTTTTTCAAACAGTACTGCTCCCTGGTGTCTAACCATTAAACATGAGCCTATGGGGGCCATTCTTACTCAAACCACCACAGACCCAACGGCCCGAAGGTCCTCAAAGAAGGCTAGCATGAAGCATGGTGGCTATTCCTTTAATCCTAGTTCTGGGGAGGCAGAGGTAAGAGGATCACTTCAAGTTTAAGGCTAGCCTTCTCTACATAATGAGTTCCAGGGCAGCCTGGGCTACACAACAAGATCTTATAGAGAATAGGAGCCTGGCATTGGTGGCACACGCCTTTAATCCCAGCACTGGGGAGGCAAAGGCAGGCAGCTCTCTGTGAGTTCAAGGGCATCCTGGTCTCCCGAGCAAGTTCCAAGACAGCTTCCAAAGCAATACAGAGAAACCCTGTCTCGAAAAACCAAAAAGAGAGAGAGAGAGAGAGAGAGAGAGAGAGAGAGAGAGAGAGAGAGAGAGAGAGAGAGAGAGAGAGAGAGAGAGAGAAAGAGAACAGGAAGTTGGACTCTGCCAGTCATACAATCATAGTCCCACTACACCAAGACTGAGCATCTGCACAGCAGGCACTTGCGGCCATCTGCCAAGCCTCACACACTACAGAGGATGCTGGCCTGTTACCCCCACCTGGTTTCTATTCCCTGACTTCCAGTTAGTCATCTTCTCACACCACATGGCTCCCATGTGGACCTGAGTAGACAGGGAGGAACCTGGTGCTGTGGCAGAAATCACTGGTGACAATAGTAAGTGTCCAAATGAACCAGCTGGTGTCTGGGTGACAGATCAGGTGAGATGATCAGCAGGACTCCATCTACCTGCTTTAAAAAGATGAAGTGTGCAGAACCATAAGGAACAGACTTATACTCAGAACTGAAACCACCCAGACCAGCACCAAGACATGGCAGAAAAACCCAACACTCAGTTCCCACCTGTCTGTGGGGTTCCGCCACCCATGTCTCTGGCTAGATCACTGCAAAGACTTCAGGAGCACAGAATCTGAAAGGCACTTGTCAAGATGCCTGCGGCTACCAGAAGCTACCTGAGCACACCATCAAGCTTCCAACTCTACACCACTCTCTCAGGGGCCATTCTACAACTGTCACAACAAAACCACTTCTTCAGCCACTAATCAGGGAGCTTGAGGATGAACTGTTTTCTCCAACTAAGAGAACAAAGCTAGGCATGGTGACTCACACCTGTGATCAGAGCATTCAGGAGACTGAGCCTGACGGGCACACAGCATGAGACTACCTCAACAGCCCTCCACTCCCCACCCCACCCCCAAGACAGCCAAGCATGATTGCTCATGCCTGCAATTCCAGCAACCAGAAGGCTTAAGCAGAACAAAGATACCAAAAGTTTTAAGGCCACCCTAGTCCACAAAGTGAATTCCAGGTCAGCCTGGGCTACAAAGTGAGACCCTAAAACAGAAACAACGGGGCTGGGGGGAATGACTTAATGGATAAAATTACTTGCTGCCCAAGAACTAGGACCTATGTTTGAATCCCCAGTATCCACTTAAAAACTATGTGTGTGGCTATATGGGCACTACACCTTTGTAGGAGGCAGAGCCTGAAAGATCCCTGGAACTGAACTTGATATAAGGAATAAGGTAGAGAGTGACACCGGACAGCCTCCCCTGACCTGCAAACACACTTCAGAACAATTACAGGAGACACAAACCCTGACCTTAAGCACGTGCCACTAGACCAATCACTAACATAAGGAACAACAAAAAACCCACCTATAGGGGCTGGAGAGATGGCTCAGAGGTTAAGAGCACTGACTGCTCTTCCAGATGTCCTGAGTTCAATTCCCAGCAACCACATGGTGGCTCACAACCATCTATAATGAGATCTGGTGCCCTCTTCTGGCCTGCAGGCATACATGCAGACAGAATACTATAGACATAATAAATAAATCTTTAAAAAAAAAAACCACCTATAGCTAGTGGTGGCACACTCCTTTATTCCCAGCACTCAGGGGCAGAAAGGCAAGAGATCTCTGTGAGTTCAAAGCCAGCCTGGTGATCTACATAGTTCCAAAACTGTCAGGGCTATGTAGACAGACTGTCTCAAAATAAAGCAAGTGCTAACTGGTATCTTGAAAGCAGTGTTCCCAAAATGCTTACATATTTGAGCCCAAATATATAAGCCGGGCGGTGGTGGCGCACACCTTTAATCCCAGCACTCGGGAGGCAGAGGCAGGCGGATCTCTGTGAGTTCGAGGACAGGCTGGACCGACAGCCTCCAAAACAATACAGAGAAACCCTGTCTCGTAAATACCAAAGGGAAAAAAAAAAGAATTATCTATATAACAGAGTAGCCCTGTCTCAACCCATCCCCCAAAAAGGTGGAGAGAAATGATGCCACAGAGTTGTCCACTGACCTCCACACAAGCCATGTCACATGTACTCACACACACACCACACACACAATAAAAAAAATCTAAAAAAGCAAAAGCAGACCCCACCAGCACCAAAACCAAAACACTTAATATCACAGTCCCTTCTATAGATGGCATTATCCACACATAATGGTACACACTTGCTGCCCCAGAATTTTAGAGATAGAGGCAGAAGGATTAGAAGTTCAAAGTGAGCCTGGCGTTGGTGGCGCACGCCTTTAATCCCAGCACTCGGGAGGCAGAGACAGGCGGATCACTGTGAGTTTGAGACCGGCCTGATCTACCGAGTGAGTTCCAGGACAGCCTCCAAAACAATAGAGAAACCCTGTCTCGAAAAACCAAAAAAAAAAAAAAAAAAAAGAAGTTCGAAGTGATTCTTAGCTACATATTAAGTTTAAGGCCAGCCTGGGCATGAAAGCTTGTCCAAAAAAAAAATTAATTATTGCTGCTTTTAGGGAAAAACACGAGGCACTTTGTCCATGGTCTCATCCCATCAACTCAGTGAAGAGCAGCAACTCTCACCTGCAGACTCACCCTGCGTCCACTCCAGAGGCAGCCATCACGCTGCGCAGTCTTGCCCCCATTCTACACCAATGGCTGGGATGGCAAACAATGCAAGGATGTCTTCCCAGGGACCTGCCGTGCACTGTTGGAGTCTGCCCACCAGGGGCGACACCATAACACAGGTGTTTACGTTCATTTAATAAGTCAGTAACGGCAAAACACCCCAACTGGGCCCAAATGACCCCCTCAACTCCAGAAGATGCAGACAAGATATTCTGTAGGGCAACTTAAAATCACCATATTTCAGAGCTGGAAGGATCTTAAGGTTTACATAATGCCAAATGCCCTCATTTTTCTGAGGTGAAAGCTAAGCCTCTAGTAATTTGGTCAACATCTCCCCAAGCATTGGGGTGAGCAATAACTCACTCCTGGTTTGCATCCAGCCCCAAGTCTCCCTGTCATGTTCATTTCCACACCTGGGCCCCCAAGTTGACTGCTCTGTTTAGCCTGCTGGCCCTCTGTCATTCTCCAGAAACATGGCATCAGACAGACAGAAACACACAGCCAGCATACACAGTGTTGTCACACAGCAGCCTGAAGTAACCTTAGCAGAACCGATAAGGAGGGCCAAAGGAGAAGAGGTGTGGCCACTTTTCCAGGCGGAAGGCTCCAGGCAGAAGGCTGTGGGGGAAAGGAGAGGTCCACCCAAAGCTCCGACCTAAGGCAGGTGTGCTGTGCTGCCTACAACCTACATAGCTCTCTCTGAGTCTGTTCCCAGACACACGAGAAAGGAAGAGTGTGCACCTCCCAGGTAACCGGAGCCTTCCACGGGATAACACTAGAGTAACTTACAG